CCCATCCCTTCACAGTACTTAACTCAATTTACTTGTAATAAAGGCTCCCAATTTATGTTTTCTGACATTTGGAATGTTCTGCAATCATTCTAATTTTCTCAAATTGAAAAGCCCCCAGAATACTTCTTCAGTAAAAAATGTTCGAGAAGTATTTCAAGGGAGATAACTTGAATGCTATAATAGGTATGTAATATTAAGAAGTATTATCCTTCAGTTTCACTACAGTTTCATGAGTTGTTCAAATCAGTATTATTATTATTATTATTTTTTAACACTTATTCAGATATTGACGTTATAGGGTTTTACCAAAGGTTTACTTTATACGCAAACAATGACCGTATTAAATGTGTTGCAACGTCGTGACACGTTAAATATGTTCATTATTTGTGTATCAAGTGAAACTTTGATGTTACAAATTTTCAAACTGTTGAATCTTATTCACCATTTATAGGGTTGAGTTTCAGTAATTTTGAAAATATCTTATGTGTAACATTTGCATTTGCTTATCATTAAAATTATCAAGTTATAAAAAATGGAGACATAAAAGTAAATTTCTGTATAAAACTACACAAGACAGTGGGCGAGGATTTAACCATTCAAATGTTTCCATTTCACGCTTCATTTTCACACACATTGCGCACACATAAGTAACAACTCAAATATCTGGGACTGAGAAATTTAACTGGGACTGACATCAGAACATTTTATACATACTGGCTGTACATATCATGATGAAACAATTTTAAAGTTAATATCGGTCTTTAATCATCTGTATGGGAGGGCTGTCACTGTATATTGTGAAATTGAAGTATCACCAAAATCAACACAGAATGTCCATGGTTTATATTTACTTGGTAGCACTATTTTTAATATTATAAGCCAAAACAAAAGAAAATTTTGCATTTCAGATTTTACCTTCTTAAATACATGTGGTTAATTTAAGGTAGTGTAATGATCTAAGTATTATAAACTATTACATTGAAGTACAAAATTATGACCTTAAAAAATCAAGAGCAAGTAGAAAAACTGAAGCACACAATTTTGGACCTCATTGATCAGGAAATAATCTCAACAAATAAACACAATATAATATCATATTGTGTACTTTGTGTAAGTCCATTTAAATAACCTGCACAGAGACCCAGACGTGTTGGAGATCAGTTTGAAAATGAAGATTCCTTAATCCATGAACAAATACTTAATAATCGATTAAAATTTTATGTCAACTCAAAGTCAAGAGTCACTTTTACAAATAAATTTTTCAGTAAGAAAACCAGGTGTGTTTTTACATTATTGGGAAAGGCAATCATTGGAGGCATATCTCTTTGATATAATAATGTCACAAGTTTGTACTTCCTTTATATTATAATTTTACTTCCTTAATGATATGAGTTTTTATATCCTTTATGTTATAAGATTGTATTTCTTTAATGTAGTAAATTGATACTTCCTTAAACCCTGGGTATTTTCACAAATTATTGAAATTAATATTTCAAGAATATATATCAGCAAGAAAACTAAATTGGTTTTGTTTTTCATTAATGACAGTATTTAACTGCAATCAATTATAGCTGGTGGATGTATTAACACTTTCACCCCTGAAGACACATTTGAACTCTTCCAATTCAAAGGTTGAAAGAGTTCATTATGAATTTTCAGGGGTGAATGTCCAGTTAAACCAACGAAGTGATACTCCCACCGACAGAACAACACGGCTGACCAGTTAACAAACATTAACACTGTGTACAGAATAAATGGAAATAAAATGAGCAGTTTGTAGTAAAATATGTAAAAAAAACACAAGGATTATGCAAAATCTTCAAATCAATGTAAATTTGAAAACAAAAGTAGAAGATTTGGAATTGTAAAAAAGTGTTAAAAGCATGACAACAACAACAGCACAAGGAACTGATCTGATCAGTTCTACCGTAAGGCCATTAGTAGTACACTAAATGTAGGGTGATACCGAACGATGATTCCTCAGTAATGTGGACGCTGCAATCGAGAAGGAAATGACCGTCATGTAATAACCAGGGACAATGTCATCATCAAGGGTTTCAGTAAGATTTCAATTAAAGTAGCATGTATTCAACACAAAGTATACGTATATGAAGGCAGTTCATTTTTATCTATTTTTGTTCATGAAAGTAGCGGGTGATATATCTAGATCTGTAGTAGGAGAGCATTTTTGCCGACTACTGGCTACAAGTGAAATCCCCACGTCATACGTAAAACAGAAGTACAGTAGGTTTATATATACACTGATGTAAAATCAACGAAAAACAATTTCTTTTTACTTGTATTTACTATAATAATGAAAAAATATAGACAGAAAAAGTTGACCCCAAATAAAATTGACCCGCCTCCTCTGTGTCCTTCTCTATAAAGGCAGAACATAACTAATTGGCCCCATTTTTTTTATTTTTTTTTTAGTTTAAAGTGATTCAGGTTGCAGTCCATGTACTTGGTTAGTCCTATTTCATTTTTTTTTTTAATTAAACTTATAGAAGCCAAAACAGGAATAAACAATATTTGAAAAGAAAAAAAAAAAACATTTCAGAAATCTTAGTGGTGAATGGGCCAGTAAATACAAATGTATACAATGTAGTTAGCAAATATGAGCCAAAAATATAAAGCCGAAAAATAAATTACAACTTTTTTTTCTCTAAAAAGGTTTCTTTTCCTTTCATTTTTTCTTCCTTTCTTAAATTAGATCCCATTGCAATGTAATCAAACAGCTGGTGGTCTATATATGGTAGAACACATATATACCAGAAATACCTGAATTCAAATCACCTATTTTTATCTCCTTTGCTTCATGTAATGATGATAATCAAAGAAAGAGTGTTCCAGGCTCAATCTACTGGTAAAGGAAACAGATTTTTAGACTAACAAGCCGATATTTTACTGATGTTTGAATAGATATATGAGGTTTACAGCGTCAGTTGTGAGAACAGAAATTCCATTGTAATACTAGAGTTGTTTCCCCACCTAAAGAGGTTTCATATAGTAAGGACAATGGTCCCTAATTTAGCAGAACATTGTCCACTGTAATCACATTTATATGTGGAATAAAAAATTAGAGATGACCAAATGTGGAAATTCATCAGTCACAGGAAATGCACATTTTTTTTTTGTACACTGAAAATAGTTTTTGGAAGACCGACTCTCTCTCGTGAATAAATCCAAGTAGACTACCTGTTATTTTGTCATACTTCATGCTAAGATTGTACCGACTGAGCTCACTCGAGCAAGATGCGTCTCAAACTGAGGTCTTCAATGAGTTAGAAATATTGTCTCAAACATACACAATGATCTCATCTGAAGGAAATTTTTGAAAAGTCTATATAGCAGTGATCAATCTACATTGTATTTTCATGGGTCATTTTCAACTGTTTTGCTAAAATCAAGTTAAATTTCGAGTATTTTCAGAAATTCTGCAAGTCCCGTCAAAATTCTATGAGTATTGTACTCGGGACTCGTATGTAGATTTATCACTGATATTGTCATAATATAAGAATATGGCTTTTTAAATAGGTAGACAGAAATATATAGCAGACTATCATCTGAGAAGGTTAATTGACATTCCATTACAGGCAAAACAATGAAACAGGCTGTAAAACATTGTTACAGGCTGCAGACAGATAGCCAGCAGCAGGTCTGTCCACGGTTAATAACGTAATATAAATCGGGATTGGGTGGCAGCCTTCCCGTCTGTTAATAAGTGTATATCACCTGCATGTATATAGCTGGTGTACACGGGGTTACCTCAGGTGATGAAGAAATCATCGTACTCCAGCAGTGTAGCCTACAGTGTTCGTAAAAACAGCCACGTTACACTAGTATTACGTAGTAAGATCAACAAAATATGTAATCTGATTTGTCTAGACAGTCATAGATGAACAAACAACCGAATGTAGGTAATAAAATTACTAAAGATTGCAGTATATATTGTTTGCGATAGAAAATAGATACCAGTAAACTAAAATTTGTAAATAATCAACATGTATAATTATAGACATTTAAAGCATGTATGTAGTGATTATAAAAAATACATTTTTTTTTTATTCTTTATGTTTATAGTCAAATTTAAAAAAATACAACCTTTTTCATTAGCTTTAATTAGCAATTTTAGGAGACAATTAAAGAAAATTTAAGAAATAATGCCTTGACAAACAGAAAATTTTAAAATAAAACTGCAACAAAAAAACTCTTTATGAGCTTCCTGCATATCAGCTGGTCTTTGAAAACAGGTGGGGCCATAATTCATTCAACTACTGAACACTTTAACACAGTATAAATGTTTGAAAGAATATAAGCTTATCAAAACAATTTCAAACTGTTACTAACATAGATGAAAAATAGTACATGTAAGCTGACTTTTAAATTACCAAACCTTATTTTGACTGAAATACTTTTTTTTTAAATGAGACAAGCTGCTTCAGTATGTTTTCATCCACAAATAGTTGAATATGCTGTTGGGCTGTTTAATACTTTAGCAGCTGGATGGGAGAAGCCAGAGGCTGGTTTACATTCAACATGTATAATTAACTTCGGACAATTTTACAGTGACTTCAGCCAGCTGGATATTGTCAGAATTACCAAATTCCTTGAATTTGTAAAAACTGAAGTTGTATTAGAGCATTACAAAAGGAATTTTCTGCTTTTTTGGCTATCTACCTAATTGCAATACAAATTTGTCTAAAAATCGATAGATACAGGGCTGAATTCTGTATCATTTATATCATACATAAGGAGGACAAGTCTTGTTCTGACACCATCAACCACATACAGCTTACTGGTCATCTTTGTGTCACAGTGAAGGTCAAGTTCTGATACTTCTGATTTCATCAAATCTGAACTGCCCACAGTTATAGTGTCGTTTGTATAAAGTACCACATGGTAGAAAAGTTACAATTACCGCAGCGTTAATACCCAGAGCCCAGCACCCATGCCCTAACACGAACCGACGGAGAGATACACGTGTGAGAGGTACTTACATAGGCCCGATACTCGGGCTGGTTACATCCACTGGACTTGGAACCATCGTTAAATATCACGCATTCATCAGCTTCTACATGTAATTCATTGGGAGACGAGACAAAGATAAGCTTCTGATGTAAAACTCCATTAACAAAATCCAACTTTATGTGTGGTTTCTGGCCTCCTTGCTGTAAAAAAAAGAAGAGGAAAAAGCCTTAGAGCTGAGTCGGAATAAAATTCTAAAACAATGTGAATTACAATGTCAAATTGATTGCCTTTAATTTGATAACAGTGAATAGATACATGTTCGTTAAATCAATGATACTGGTTTTTCTTGAATTTCTAAACAATGAGTATTTTCTTTGTTGCCAAGATGCAGTATTTAAGTATCATTCTTCATGCAGATTGTGCAATAAATGTGTTTAGATTTCAGAAGTTTTATTCCCTAAAACAGTTCTATAAACTATCAAATTAAAAGATCAATAATACATATCTAAAATACTGAAATGAAAACTTAAAGCTCATAACAGAGTGCATGCTTATAAATACAAGTGAACATTCGGACAACAACATATATATACACGTATAACATTATCATATCCTCTTTGTTACTCAACATACAGATTAAATTATCATATTTTTCATTTACACAAAATTAATTACTAATTGACCACTGAATATTCATGAACATTATTTTTAATTAAAGATTACACTACGCTCATTATACCACTGATGTTTGTCAGAGTGGTCCCCCTTTTAGCAGTTCCAGTAAACATTCAATTTTTCAATATATCTCTCATTGATACTTATGCATGTTATTAATTCGTTACTTTACAAATATTTCATAATGAATTAGTGAAGTCCAATCACCATTCTCTTTTTGAATGGAGGTGTAATTCACAATAAGGTAGACATATATCCTTCATATCTAAGTAATCTAGAGCAATATATCTTTTTTTCATTCTATGTTTGAAACATATGACCGACTGTTACTATAAAGAAGAAATCAGAAAATGATATATTTTGAAGAATTTACATTACAACATAACGCAAACTCAATAAAATGAAAGTATATATATAGTACGTCTTATAACAAACACTACAGCCTTGAAAATAACTGAAACTTACGAAAATAGACAAAATACATTCCAAAACACTGAATTAAAGCAATACTTATGACTTCTGTGTGTAGTGACACCAATCATTATATGATTTATACTGTATGTGTTTTCTCTGTCTTAATTTTGCTGTCTTGAAATTTTGACACTAGCTAATACATGACCTGATGATGTTATGCGACACATTTTCTGTGACATGATATGTGCATGCATTAAGTTTTTGTATCAAATCTTCAGGCAATCAGATATAACCAGTAATACAAGATGTAACTGGACGTTTGATATCACACAATGACCTATGACCTTTAACCTTTTGGGTAGGATTCTGTTGGTGTTACTCAACATACTTCGTAACAAAACCTTAGGGCAATTAAACGTTATATGGGCCAGATAAGTTGTTTATGATTGACTTAAGCCCCTTTATACTTTTCAGTGTAGCTCCATTGTGTCCTTTTAAGGTAGGGGAGCTTTTTATATGTAAATAAATGCTCAAATTGACATCATATATTCGAAATTTTCTGAGAAAGTCAAGCAATGAGATTTACTTGCAGTTGACACCGTTGACAAGGTCATACTCTATGATCCCAATATCTCAATATGAACATAAACCATTGGTTATGATACCTGCAGCTAGAATATGTGCCTGGAGGAATATCTAAATCTATAATGTGTTGTAAATTATAACTCATACATGTATCATAATAAGGGTACAGACTAATTCAGGGAATACAAAACAGGATCGATCCTCCATCACAAACACTCACTAAGGGGTTGTACTACTGGGGAACACCACACTGTACTATAGCTACACATAGGGACTTGTAATAAATACACTTAGAGACACTGTTACCAACACTCACTAAGGGGTTGTACTACTGGGGAACACCACAATGTACTATAGCTACACACAGGGACTTGTAATAAATACACTTAGAGATGGTACTGCTGAGATATATAGATATGACCGAGCACAAAATCACAAATTATATAACCACAAAAACAGTGACAGGTCTAGTGTTGAACTGAACAGATTTATTGCTGAACACTCTGTCTTCTCTAGGCCCTGCTTCTATGAACTGTGTAGGAAATTATCTGATTTGATATAAAGAGGACAGTGTACTCACAATCACTCTTGAAAAAACAACACAGGGCCTTGCTCCACTATACACAGGGGTCTGTGAGGGAATGAGCTTGACTGACTTACAGGTTTATATTATTTTATTTTTCTGATTTCATATACATTAGGAAATGATTTTTTTCTCTTATTATAATAAAAGGTATTGAATGTGTGATAGCTCCATCAACGTGTACATTGATCTAGACTTACATTCATACATATATTTTTTTTTTCTTTAAAGATGCATACCCAATGACCTGTATCACTATTTTAAAACTATTAGAAAGATACAAAACATACTGGTTATTTATCAGAAGTATCAAATTTAGATATAAACCATCCATATATGATATACAGTATGTTTAAATTTAGAGCTTGGATATTAAAGAGTATTGCACTTACGGTGAGCCAAAACACAGTGAAAAAATATCATCTTTTACACTTGTTTTTTGGTCATTAATTTGATCAACCAAATGGTGGCATATTTTGTATATTTTATCTGTGGTAAAGAAGAGTTGTCCAGTATCCATGAATTGATGTCATATGGCCAGGGTTCAGCTTAGATATTCTATTATGCACCTTTCTATCTCTGAGCAGCACCTCTAAGTCATTAACAGGTTTATTACAAGTCCCTGTGACCTATATACATCAATAGTGAGGAGAGAGTACTGTACACATTTACTTAACTCACTTGATCAGCCATTAACTCATTCACCCCTGAAGACACATTTGAACTCCTCCAATTCAAAGGTTGGAATAGTTCATAATGAAATTTCAAGGGGTGAATGAGCTAATGTGTACATTTTGAAATCTTTAGCTTACCAGTAGTAAATATAAGCTCATCACTTCACAAGTTATACATAGAGTTCAGCACTTTGAAGCTTTACATTGAATACAATATTTCGTTTTAAAAGATTCTTATATATTTCAATAGTTTACCCCCCGGTCTATTCCAAACAAAATGAAATTTAATGAAACCAAACAAAACTTGGACTAATTATCTGGGCATTAAAAGAATCACATTTATTTTTAATTTAATACTTCTCTGAGTTTGCATTTGTATGTAGAGTACCAACAAACACACAAGAAGAATCGTTCATGTTATAGTTAGATGGAAAACAAAACAAAAGTAAATATTATTGAAATGTACACTTAAAAACCAAACAATACTAACATAAAAAAACAGGAAGAGTTACATTTTTTTCTGTATTGAAATATCAAGTACACGTATAATTTTTTGAAGAAAGTAGAAGGTTAAAATGAAACATAATTATAAGGCATGCATTTGAAATTTTCTGCAGCAGAGAAAGAGCATTTGCAATCTGGAAAAGCTATTTCTTTTGAAAAAATAATTAATCAACATGAAACAGAACACTTTTACGAATGAATTAAATTTCTAATCTATTCACAAAAACACAAAATATAACAAAAAACAAAAAAAACAAAAAAAATATCAGGAAATTCAACCAAGAAAAAAAGCATTTGTGAAAACACTCAAAACGCATAAGATAAGTTACAGAGAGGAGGAGAAAACTGAATAATTGAAATATCATTACCATGCACTGTGTTCTATGCAGTGAGACAGGGCGAATGAAAAGTTTTGGTGGCGAGACAACGTGAGCGATCAAACCGGAATGAGTCTTCATGGGTAACATACACTGCAAGAAACATGTCCCTGCTATATAGTGTGTCAGTTACCTATCACTGTACTAATACACAGAGTACCCTGTACCACTTCAACACAGCCCTGCTGTCAGACCCCAGTTACCTATCACTGTACCAATACACAAAGTATCCTGTACCACTACAACACAGCCCTGATGTCACTGTACTAATACACGGAGTACCCTGTACCACTACAACACAGCCCTGCTGTCACTTTACTAATACACAGAGTAGCCTGTACCACTACAACACAGCCCTGCTGTCACTTTACTAATACACAGAGTAGCCTGTACCACTACAACACAGCCCTGCTGTCACTGTACTAATACACAGAGTACCCTGTACCACTACAACACAGCCCTGATGTCACAGAGTACCCTGTGCCACTACAACACAGCCCTGATGTCAGACCCAAGTTACCTATCACTGTACTAATACACAAAGTACCCTGTACCACTACAACACAGGCCTGCTGTCAGACCCCAGTTACCTATCACTGTACTCATACACAAAGTACCCTGTACCACTACAACACAGCCCTGATGCCACTGTACTAATACACAGAGTACCCTGTACCATTACAACACAGCCCTGCTGTCACTGTACTAATACCCAGAGTACCCTGTACCATTACAACACAGCCCTGCTGTCACTGTACTAATACACAGATTCTCCTGTACCATTACAACACAGCCCTGATGTCACTGTACTAATACACGGAGTACCCTGTACCACTACAACACAGCCCTGATGTCTGACCCAAGTTACCTATCATTATTCTAATACAAAAAGTACCCGTACCACTACAACACAGCCCTGCTGTCGCTGTACTAATACACAGATTATCCTGTACCATTACAACACAGCCCTATTACAACACAGCCCTTATGTCACTGTACTAATACACAGAGTACCCTGTACCACTACAACACAGCCCTGATGTCTGACCCAAGTTACCTATCATTATTCTAATACAAAAAGTCCCCGTACCACTACAACACAGCCCTGCTGTCACTGTACTAATACACAGATTATCCTGTACCACTACAACACAGCCCTGATGTCTGACCCAAGTTACCTATCATTATTCTAATACAAAAAGTACCCGTACCACTACAACACAGCCCTGCTGTAACTGTACTAATACACAGAGTACCCTGTACCACTACAACACAGCCCTGATGTCAGACTTCAGTAACATATCACTGTACTAATACACAAAGTACACTGTACCATTACAACACAGCCCTTATGTCACTGTACTAATACACAGAGTACCCTGTACCATTACAACACAGCCCTGCTGTCAGACCTCAGTAACATATCACTGTACTAATACACAAAGTACCCTGTACCACTACAACACAGCCCTGATGTCACTGTACTAATACACAGAGTACCCTGTACCACTACAACACAGCCCTGATGTCAGACCTCAGTAACATATCACTGTACTAATACACAAAGTACCCTGTACCACTACAACACAGCCCTGCTGTCACTGTACTAATACACAGAGTACCTGTACCACTACAACACAGCCCTGATGTCAGACTTCAGTAACATATCACTGTACTAATACACAAAGTACTCTGTACCATTACAACACAGCCCTGATGTCACTGTACTAATACACAGAGTACCCTGTACCATTACAACACAGCCCTGCTGTCAGACCTCAGTAACATATCACTGTACTAATACACAAAGTACCCTGTACCACTACAACACAGCCCTGATGTCACTGTACTAATACACAGAGTACCCTGTACCACTACAACACAGCCCTGATGTCAGACCTCAGTAACATATCACTGTACTAATACACAAAGTAACCTGTACCACTACAACACAGCCCTGCTGTCACTGTACTAATACACAGAGTACCTGTACCACTACAACACAGCCCTGATGTCAGACTTCAGTAACATATCACTGTACTAATACACAAAGTACACTGTACCATTACAACACAGCCCTGATGTCACTGTACTAATACACAGAGTACCCTGTACCATTACAACACAGCCCTGCTGTCAGACCTCAGTAACATATCACTGTACTAATACACAAAGTACCCTGTACCACTACAACACAGCCCTGATGTCACTGTACTAATACACAGAGTACCCTGTACCACTACAACACAGCCCTGATGTCAGACCTCAGTAACATATCACTGTACTAATACACAAAGTACCCTGTACCACTACAACACAGCCCTGCTGTCACTGTACTAATACACAGAGTATCCTGTACCATTACAACACAGCCCTGCTATCACTGTACTAATACACAGATTATCCTGTACCACTACAACACAGCCCTGATGTCTGACCCAAGTTACCTATCACTGTTCTAATACAAAAAGTACCCGTACCACTACAACACAGCCCTGCTGTCACTGTACTAATACACAGATTATCCTGTACCATTACAACACAGCCCTGATGTCACTGTACTAATACACAGAGTACCCTGTACCACTACAACACAGCCCTGATGTCTGACCCAAGTTACCTATCACTGTACTAATACACAGAGTACCCTTACCACTACAACACAGCCCTGCGGTCAGACCCCAGTTACCTATCACTGTACTAATACACAAAGTACCCGTACCACTACAACACAGCCCTGCTGTCAATGTACTAATACACAGAGTACCCTTACCACTACAACACAGCCCTGATGTAACTGTACTAATACACAGAGTACCCTGTACTTCTACAACACAGCCCTGCTGTCAGACCCTAGTTACCTATCACTGTATTAAAACACACTGTACCCTGTACCACAACAACACAGCCCTGCTCTCAGACCCCAGTTACCTATCACTGTACTGATACACAAAGTACCCTGTGCCACTACAACACAGCCCTGCTGTCAATGTACTAATACACAGAGTACCCTTACCACTACAACACAGCCCTGCGGTCAGACCCCAATTACCTATCCCTGTACTAAGACACAAAGTACCATGTACCACTACAACACAGCCTTGCTGTCAGACCCCAGTTACCTATCACTGTACTCATACACAAAGTACCCTGTACCACTACAACACAGCCCTGCGCTCAGACCCCAGTTACCTATCACTGTACTAATACACAAAGTACCATGTACCATTACAGCACAGCCCTGCAGGTCGGTGACTGGGAAAGCAAGGCAAAGTATTGCAAGGCAATCCCTAGTCCCCCACCGGTAATGATTTCTATATCTAACAAACAGTATACTTATGTCAGGATGTAACTACTGTTCAGAGCATAGCTTACAGTGAAGTTATAGTGACCTAGTTCTTGCACTTGCCATCTTAAGATGTCCTTGAACACATAATCTGGTTACATTTTATTCCAGGTGAAATAGTATAGAAGATATGCCCCGGACAAACGTTTTCAAATGTAAAGGTAAGAGGTCAAGTCACAGTGACATAATTCTTGCACTCTGCACTCTTTCATCCCAAGATGTCATTGAACACCAAATCTGGTTACTCGGTGAGAAATACCCGGTAGTATAGAAGATTTGCCCCTGACAAACTTTTTTTTCAAAAGTAAAAGGTCAGTGCCCTGTACCACCAAAACACTGCCATGTACCACACAAGTAGTGCCTTGTTTCACGGAAACAGTGCCTTGTTCCACCAAAACAGTGCTCTGTACCATCAAAACAGTGCGCTGTACCATCAAAACAGTGCTCTGTACCACCAAAACAGTGCTCTGTACTGCCAAAACAGTGCTCTGTTCCACCAAAACAGTGCTCTGTACCATCAAAACAGTGCTCTGTACCACCAAAACAGTGTTCTGTACTACCAAAACAGTGCTCAAGCACTGTACCACCAAAACAGTGTTCTGTACTGCCAAAACAGTGCTCTGTTCCACCAAAACAGTGCTCTGTACCATCAAAACAGTGTTCTGTACCACCAAAACAGTGCTCTGTACCATCAAAACAGTGCTCTGTACCATCAAAACAGTGCTCTGTACCACCAAAACAGTGCTCTGTACCACCAAAACAGTGCTCTGTACCACCAAAACAGTGCTCTGTACCACCAAAACAGTGCTCTGTACCACCATAACAGTGCTCTGTACCACCAAAACAGTGCTCTGTTCCATCAAAACAGTGCTCTGTTCCATCAAAACAGTGCTCTGTACCACCAAAACAGTGCTCTGTACCATCACTCTGTACCACCAAAACAGTGCTTTGTAACACCAAAACAGTGCTTTGTACCACCAAAACAGTGCTCTGTTCCATCAAAATGTACTCTGTACCACCAAAACAGTGCTCTGTACCACCAAAACAGTGCACTGTACCACCAAAACAGTGCTCTGTACCATCAAAATGTACTCTGTACCACCAAAACAGTGCTCTGTACCACCAAAACAGTGCTTTGTACCACCAAAACAGTGCTTTGTACCACCAAAACAGTGCTTTGTACCACCAAAACAGGGCTTTGTACCACCAAAACAGTGCTTTGTACCACCAAAACAGTGCTCTGTACCACCAAAACAGTGCTCTGTACCATCACTCTGTACCACCAAAACAGTGCTTTGTACCACCAAAACAGTGCTTTGTACCACCAAAACAGTGCTGTGTACCACCAAAACAGTGCCCTGTACATCATATACCAACCAACCAGTGCCATGTACCAACAAAACATTGCCTTGTACCAACAAAACAGTGCTTTGTACCAACAAACAGTGTCCTGCATCATCAAACCAGTGTCCTGTACCACCAAAACACAGTGAATAACATTGACTTTGCTACAATGGGGGCTGTACTGTCTCAATGGTTGGAATAACACTGACCTACACAGGGACATATACCTTCAACTTTCATTTGTTACACAGACCAGTTTTTATAGATATATTTCAACTAAACAGCACTGTTGTGTCATCATTTACATAGCATCTACTGTCACTCTGGAATGACCTTGACTGATACACACAGGGTCCAGCACATGTACATCACCCTAAAATAACCTTGACTGACCTTCATTTTG